TCCGGTACACCCCCTTAAGTCACCTGGCTCCCACCACCGCTGGACAGAGAAAATGAGTCTATAGAGCCTGCCTGAAGTCCTACGACCCTGGATGAGGAAGCTTTCTTGGTGCCCCCTAGTCGCCGCACTTTTTATACTTTTTATGTCATTGGAGAGCGACTGGTCATTATAGGCCAGAATCAAGCCTCTCTTGATTAATACAGTCGGTGTTCATTTTGAGTGTATACAACATATTGTTTTGCAATTAAGTAACACGAAGATCTGAGAAAAGTTCTTCTCCTGAGCTCAGAGAAGCAATTACAAACCCAACATCCAAACCAGAAGAGCCAGAAAATCAAGCTAAGGGTAGGAAGGACCCGGACAAAACAGCAATGATTTTTTCTTTCATTTTAATGATAATCTCGAAATTATTGGATTCGTTTATGAGAAGCAAACAAACGGAGCCATGTTAACTATATTTTGTGCCTGTCCCTGCTTCTTTCTGGCTTTGTGGCATTCTGCCAATGCTGAGCTTCCCTTTGACTCAATCTTCTCATCTCCAGAATGGGGCTGACAGCAGTTACAAAATAGCTCTGACCCTTCTGGAGCGAGGATTAAGTGAGTCAGCAGTCGGTAAGCGCTTCAACCTCCCAGGCCTCTCTCTGTAAGCACCACGCAAATCGCAAATCGGCTAGGATTATCATAAATTGGTTGTAACAAACACATTCCTTTCCTAGCAAGAGGATTAAGATTCAGTCATGCCACTTAGCAACTTCTGTGACAAATATTTCTGTCACTTCAAGAAAAATCAGAGCTGCACCTTTTTCTGGGGACAACTATTGATTGCCAAGCCTCTCAGGCAGGCTGCGCCATGAACATATTCAGAATAATACCCGGCTGTTTGACTTTTCCCAAGAGGGTAACTTCTTTAAACATAGTCTCCAAATCCAACGGCTCTAACCACTCACTGCTGTGTCCACAAACCCACCTTCAAAGCAAATAAAAGGATAATTTGCTATCAGAGAGTACCACTTATCCTTAAAAACACCTCAAAGATCATTAAAGATGCCTGTGGGCAAAAGAGTAATCTCCTAGAGGACAGCAATTTTTCTTAATTTTTTTTTTTTAGCATTAGGTTTTTGGAACTGCAGGTTGTAAGATGTAAATACCTTATTCTTAAATACTGAGCACAGAATTCAGGAGTAAAATGGTGGTGACGTTTATAGCTTATTATAAACTGTATAATTTCTGACAAAATCAGCCACCCATCACAGTGATTGACATACAGTAAGTACTAATTAAATGTTGACTGAAAGTATAGACAAGTGCACACCTTAACACTGGAATTAACTGTCATGTGTTATTCTTTGAAGGATAAACAGTGACTCCTGGGCACGGTTTCCCTCCTGAGTCTGTTTCTCTGACTCGTTGTTTTGTGCATCAAGCCAGCTTCTAAGTTTCTTAATGCCATGTTGAGAGAACTCAGATCCCATCTGTCTCTACAAGGACTTCTTTATTTCCCAAACCAAAACCCTGGAACTTGGCTGAAACCTGTCCTCTGGCCTAGCCTTCTTCCTTCAAGCAGATAAAATGATTTAGTTGTTCCACCAGGGAGACCTCTGCCCTCACGTCTTTTTTTACTTGACCAGCCTAGAAATTCTGCCCTGTGGTCACTGTACGCCAGCACATCCACTTTGTCCTTTTTGCTGGCATGGCCACAGAGGTAAAAAAAAAATAATGGGCCATTATTAGTCCCCTTCATAAAAAGGCTTCTGTACTTAGAAGTTAGATAAAGTTCTCAGATGGGTTTACTTTTCCCTACGGGGTCTGTTTATAAAGAATCTGCCATAGACAATGATTATTTAAGCTATATAAATTGAACTCAAAATCGGGCATTTTAAAGAGTCACTAGTATTACCAAAGACTAACTAGTGGCTTTGATAAGCAGTTACTTGGACATAGCTGTGGTGGATTATCCTACTCCCAAGAACTCGAGGACATCTAATGTGAGGACTCCAAAGTGATCACCCTGACTTTCTGTTTTGTATAATATTCTGTTTTTACTGTTATGTTAATGTCATCCCCCAACATGGCATGACATAGCAGCGAACTTCAAATGATGAAAAAACGTCTCAACAAATGACAAGATTCACCAAAATCAGCTCAATTCCCGAATATCAAAGCATCTCTAAATACTGAACCTTGATGATGAGGTGGATCTACGCAAAACCTTCCCAACTTTGGAAACAGAAGAAGGAAGGATGAATGCTAACCCCTTATCTTGCACTTTATTTTAGGGGTCTCTATCCCAGAAGGGATGATGGCAGGCAAAATAATATCTCCCACCCCCAACCCCCCACCCCGTGAATTTCTTACTTTACATGATACTATATTTTGGACACAGAACCATACCACACCATCAAGACCCTATATCATAAAGACTTTGACCTCAGCCTGTGGCACTATTAGGAAGCAGAACCTTTAAAAAGTAGGGTCTAATGAGAAGTAAGCCATTTGGGTTTCAATTAATTGTGTTGTAACAGCAGCGACAGAAAACTAAAACATCTATCTGTGTGAATGGTATCCTTTCTTTCAGCCACAGTGAGTTACAAAAGTCCTAAAGGACAAGTTGTAAATATGGCTAGGAGTCTTTATGCACAGCCGTAAAACAAAGTGGGTAAATACAACAGATGTTCATTCTCTCGCTTCCTTATAAAAAGACTTATTCACCCAGTTTACCTCGCTTCATTAAATTTTGCTCATGTAGATACAACGTAAGTAGTATACAGGTCAAAATGTTTCTCTGAAATCTCCCTAGATTTTTATTTCCTTATGTACAGAGCAATTCAAGGGATAATAGTCTCATCTTTTCAGCAAGTGCCCTAAAGTCAACCTAGAGTGTTCCCCTATACCCTAACCCAGCCATCAACTCCTGATTTTGTCTCCAAAGAGTTCTTGAATCTGTCCCCATGCCTCTGACTTAGTGTAGCAAATTGTGTCTCCTTTATATTTTTCTGTGATGGCTCCCTAAAGGTTTTATCATCACACAAACTACGGAAGGAAATAGGATCTTACTCTCGCAGACCAGAGTTAAAATTGTTATCAACAGGGCTAGGCATCTAGCCTAATTGGTAAAGTTCTGGATTCAAACCCCAGGACCACATAAAACCAGGTGTGGTAGCACACACCAACAATGCCACCAGAAAGGAGATGGAAACAGGAGGATCACTACAACTACATGGTTGATTTAAGGCTATCCTGAGGCTACATGAGGCCCTGTCTCAAAAAAGGAATGTTAGGACTGGAGACTTTTTCCAGTGGTTAGAGCACTTGCTCTTCCAGAGGACCCACGTTTGATTCTCAGCACCTACATGGTGGCTCACAAACATCTCTAACTCCAGTTCCCAGGGATCCAGTGCCCTCTTCTGACCTCTGTGGGCACCAAACACTCACACGGTGCACAGAGATACATGCATACAAAACATCCATACACATAAAAATAAATAAACAATTTAAAAAAGAAAGAAATGTCATAGATAGAAAATCGCCATTTCGCCAGGTCTGAGAAATGGCCTCTACCCCTGCCAATGCTGTACGATTTTTTAAAATAAAATATGCTCATCAAAAACACTAAGCACAGTGCCTAGTGCCTAGTAAGAAGTTAATCAATATTTGTTATAGTCACTGAACTGTTAGATTGAAATTTTAAATTAGACTCTATGCTACATGTGAAGTCAGATGGGCCATGACTAAGATGGTAGTTATTATCATCCTTTTCATGTACTCGTCTGTTTTCTCAATCATCTGTCTACTTTATAAATAGCAGACTACCAAAATAAAATTGACATGAAGAATACTCTTCTTGCCAGGCACAACGATGCTCATCTTTAACCCCAGCACTCTGGAGGCAGAAGCCAGAGAATCTGCTTTAAAGCTAGCCTGGTCTACAGAGTGAGTTCTAGACTAGCCCGAGTTATACAACGAGACTAACAAAAACCAAAACGACAATAACAACAAAAAAAAAAACCACGTTTATTGTGCAGAGAGAATAAATGTCAGTGGTCAGCCACAAACTGGACATCTATATCACATTCTCCCCCTCTCCCAAGACAAAGGGATCATCAGGGAAGAGAGAGAAGAAAAACTGTAAGAGCCAGATGTCAGGACAGGAGGGAAACGGTGTCTTCTGGACACGACAGGACCACCACACTCATGAGCTCACAGCAACTGTGATTGTGATTGTCTACACAAGAGCAAGCCAGTCCACATTCCGGCCCAGAGGGAGGGAGGGAGGGAGCGGCTCATGAGTCCCCACCCTAACTGAGCAACTACTCACAACTGATGGCTGCGAGGGCAGAAAGAATCAGTTTTCTTTTAAGGTGTGGCTCCTGTCAGCCGAGCACACTCCAGTGGAGGGTCCCACACCCATGAGTATGGGGGAGCACAAATTGGGCTTGTTGGGTTATTTAAAAAATAAAAAGGCATGAAGTTAGGAGGTGGTGGAGGATGGACTTGCAAGGAGTAGTTAGGGGGAAGAGTGAGAGGTGAATGTGATCAAAATTCATTACATTATGTATAAAATGCTCAAAGAATAAAAATAGTATGTTAAAAATAAGTAAAAGATGATACAGTAAAGAATGCATACAAGAAAAAAAATCTATATGATTGTCATAGTCAACTTTTCTACAGTTGTGATAAGACCAAGACAACTTAGGGAAGAAAGGTTTTATTTGGGGCTAACAGTTTCATAGATTTTCACAGAGACCATCACAGTGGAGATCACGGCAGCAGATGGGCATGCACGACATTCAAGCAGTAGCTGAGAGCTTACATCTTGATCCACAGTCTTGTGAGGCAGAAAGAGCTAACTGGAAATGGCATGTGCTTTTGAAACTTCAGACCTGGCCCCCAATGGCACACCTCCTCCAACAAGGCCACATGCCCTCATCCTTCCCAAATAGCTCCTCTAGCTGGGGATTAAGCATTCACATATATGAGCCTATGGGGCCATTCTCATTCAAACCACCACAATGATTAAAACTATAATTTTCCTTTATGCCTTTGTCTCCCCTCCACAGAATTCATAAGCTGAGATGTTAATTCCCAATGCTCTGGTTTTAGAGATGAGAACTGTGGGAGAAAATGAAGTCTAGAAGAGACCCTGAGGATGAAGCTCTCCTGGTGACATCAGCACCCTTGTAAGAAGAACTGCCAAGGTTGGTACTCCCTTCAGGAAGAGTCTCCTTCAGACCCATCCCAGCACCCTGACTCCCAGCCTCCAGAAAAGTAAATGACTGTTTAAGCCACGCAGTCTCAGGTGTATTTTTAGGGCAGCCCAAGCTAACACTGGACCTCCACGTGCCTTCTAACTAACTCAAGGAAGATATTCTTGCCTAATAGACACAATGACAGAAATAAAAATAAGCAGTTTTTCTCCTTCCTGGTAGTAGGTTCCTGTGCTTTTTGTACCAAAGCTCTGACTCACTAATTAGCATCAATTTCAAGCCACAAAGCAAAGTAGATTTTCAACCTGCTTGGCAAGAATTGTAATTATGTTCAGTGACAAATTAAGGAATAATTCTCAGCATACACAAAAGCAAATAAAAGTTTAACCATTTAAAAGTAATATTAAATTCTATAACACAGCCATGATCAAATAAGAATTGTTTCAGGCAGTTTTAAAAACCCTGATCCTAGCCGGGCAGTGGTGGCACATGCCTTTAATCCCAGCACTCGGGAGGCAGAGGCAGGAGGATCTCTGTGAGTTCGAGGCCAGCCTGGGCTACAGAATGAGTTCCAGAACAGGCTCCAAAGCTACACAGAGAAACCCTGTCTTGAAAAACCAAAAAAAAAAAAAAAAAAAAAAGATATCTGATCCTAGATAAGATATAGCTAATGATCATTTTTTTCCTTTTAATTAATTTTAGGAGATATTAGTAAAAGTGTATATATCCTTATCTTTAAGACATACTACCCCTATTTCTAAGATACAAAAACAAAGTAAGAACAAGGAAATGCTAATGAATTGAGAAGAAAACCTTGAGTCTGGGGCTGAAGAGAGAGCTTAGTTGGTAAAGTGCTTAGCAAGCACACACTTGACAACCTGAGTGTGAGTCCCTGACAACCTGAGTTCAGTCCCTGTGACCCGGGTTGTAGAAGGAGAAAACTGACTTGTGAAAGTTGTCCCCTGATTTCCACATTTGCACCATGGAACATGTGCTGTTCCCACCCTGCAAATCAGTAAATCTGTTTTTAAAGCCATGCTCATAATCCCAGTCTGGGAAGGCAGAGACAGTAGCATCCCTGGAGCTGGCTGGCCGGTCAGTCTAGCTGAATGGGTGAGCCCCAGCCGGGTTCAGTCAAAGACCCTACCTCAAGAAGTAAAGCAGAGACCAACTGAGAAAGACTCCGGGCATTGATCTCCGGCCTCCCCCTCCACAAACACGTACATATTTGTACATATGTATACACACACACACACACACACACACACACACACACACACACACACATCCTGAGTCCTTAAAGCATAGAAAACTGCCCATTTCTAAGTGACAATTCAAAGACCTGGCTATACACTGAAACACAGCAAGGGTTTCAAAATTGAGCCACACATATCATTTTCAATTCTCTGGTAACTATTTTTCAAAGAAAAAACAAGTAAAAATACTTTAGTAATATGTTTTATTTGACCCAATTTATCTAAACTATTGTTTCAACAAGTGATCAATATTTGTTTTAAAATAAGAAGAGTCCCCATTGGTTTGCTGGACTTACACTAAGACTCCAAACCTTGGTGTCTATTTCCATCCTCACAGCATCTCTCAGAATTGTCATGGTACTGGAGCTGGAGAGATGGCTCAAGGGTTAAAAGTACTTGCTGCTTTTGGAGAAAACCTGAGTTTGGTTCACAGATCTATATCACACAGCTCACAACTGCCTGTAACTCCAACTCCAGGGAATCTGACGTCTCCTTCCGGCTTGCACAGGTATCCACACCCACAGGCAGACACACAAACATGCATATAAGTAAAAAATTAGTCTTTAAAGAAAAAGGAACTATTCTAATGCAAATGGGACATTTCTTTGGGGTGCCGTTGGACAGAATGATGCTCACAAAACCAAAGAGAGAAAGGAAGCATGTACAGGGTCAGGGTCAAAGACCAGGACATGGGTTGGCACTTGCCAGTTCTGAAGGGCTCCAGGCAATTCTGACAACACCAGAGCTGAGGAGCAAGAACAGCATCACAGTCTGCTGTTGTCCAAATGTGCCTCTGCCATGGCTCACAGAAAGGCAAGGAGAAGAGAGAGGGCAGCAGATGGGGAAGGAGAGAAGGGAGCAGAGAAAGGCATGAACTTAGGGGTGGGAGGAGAAGGTGGCAATCACAGGGCTAACAGGAGTTTAAACACCCCCAGAAGGCACAGGGCAGAGTGTGGAAGGAGCCAAAACAGGAAACGCGGCAGTGAAGACCGGAAGAAAGAGAAAGGGCCCACGAACTGACAGGCCTCTGCCTGAACTCGGCCAAGGGCAGCTGAGGTCAGCCCAGGGCCAGAAATGAATTTCATAAAAAGCCAAGTGCCTGGAAAAATCAACAGAGCCGAGTCAAGGACAAATGTCAGTTATGTCATTGACATTTTATCATGACAGAGTAGAATGTTTCATTTTATACTAACAAATTAATTCAGTTGCTTAATCGACTTGAGGTCAGCTAAGTCTGCTAGTGGATGGGGTGCTAGGGAGAGAACCCAGGGCCTGGCACATGCTAAGCTTGCTCTCTACCAACGAAGCCCCCCCCCCCCCCCCCCCCCCCCCCCCCCCCCCCCCCCCCCCGTCCTCTAACTATGCTTTTAAACTCAGCCCTAACAGCTTGAGCTCTGAGAAGGTCACAAGTGTGTTTCTTGTTTGTTTTTATATGTGTATGGTGTGTGTGTGTGTGTGTGTGCGCGCGCACATGCGCGCGCAGGTATGGGTAGGGGTATAAGTTGATGACGTCAGGTGTCTTCTATCATTCTCCACCCTCCCACATTTGATAAGAGTCTACCCCAGAACCTGACATTAGCTGATTGGTACTAGCTCAGTAAGCTCCAGTGATCTCGTCCCTGCCTGCCCAGTGCTGAAGGTACAGGTGTGAGCCCCGCTTTTCTGTGGGTTCTGGAGATCTGAACTCAGGTCTTCGTGTTTGTGTGCCAAGCACTTTTTTTTTCTATTTAGCTCACTGAGCTATCTCTCTAGCCCTGATTGTTTTACTGTTGGTGTTGATATTGTTTGTTTGTTTGCTTTTTGAGACTATGTAACCCTGGCAGGCCCAGAACTCGATACACATACCAGACTGGCCTTAAACTCACAGAGATCCACCTGCCTCTGCTTCCCAGGGGCTGGAATTAAAGGCAAAGCAGCACCATGCCCAGAGATTGTTTTGGTTTTTTAAGAAAGGCTCACAATGTATCCCAGGCTGGTCTGGAACTCTGCTCCTCCTGCCCCAGCTTCCCAAGGGCTGGGATTACAAGCATGGATGGCAGGGACCGTTTCCTGTGAAAACAGAGAAGGTGGCCCCAAATGGAAACTAAGCTAGTAGTTTGTGTGACCGTCTTTAGTTTTCACATTTCCCTGGTCATACTTCTCACTCTCCAGGGGACTATGGGTTCAAACTTGTCAAATGAGATTTTCTTCCCATTTCAAATAATGAACCAAAAAAAAGAAAAAGAAAAAAGAATGTCTTAAGGTAAAATAACATCATCAGCAATCTGTGCTAAAACATGGGCTTGTTCTCAGCAAAGGGGCCCAGGCTTCACTCCGGGAAGCGGGATTTTCCTTCCTTGACAGTGACTCATCAAACAGGGAAAGTGTGCAGCCTGCTCTTTACCAACATTTCACAAACGCTCCATGTACAGAATGTGCCCATTAGCGGTAGGCATCAGAGCTAGAAAGTGTTCTTCAGCATGAGTAATACGAATTAAGTGAGATGAATGGGACTGCCCTCACGGAGATGGAGAAAAGAGCCTTCATTATATAAAAAGGAAACCTGAGCGCCCTACCCCCACCGCCACCCCCCCCACCGCAGCTGCCCCCGCTTGCTCAGCCTCAGCCAATAAAAACAGGTATCGGTGCTCAAGTAAAACAGGATGGAGATGTAAAGTAACAAGAGTGCTGCTTAAACACTCAAGTGAAAAGGTAAAACACGTTAACTAGAATTTAATGACATGAAAAGAGGTTTCCGGTGTTTTGCTACGTCGGGAGGAAAAAAAAAAACATGTTGCAAGACTGGTTTCCTGTGATCTTCTTTTTCACTAATTTTATGTCAATGTGTAGAGAGCCAGCGGCCCTGGGAAGAAGCGCTAAAGTGGTAACAGAGGCGGGTTTGTGCTCTGTGTTTTCCTTCCTGTCTACCTTTCCCAATGTGTTTGTTTGCTTAATTATTCAAAGCAGGGCTCTCACTGTGTAGTCCGTGTAGGCCTCTAAGTCCTGATTCCCTGGTCCTTCCAGTGCCGGGGTTACCTCCACACCCAGCTCATGAGCATTGTTTTCGCTAGAAGTGTCAACAGAGCAGAGGAGGGCTTGGTTGTGGGGACTGCTGTGTGTGCCATCCTACCTCCGCCCCATCAGGCTCCACCTGGTGTCTCTCTCTCTCTCTCTCTCTCTCTCTCTCTCTCTCTCTCTCTCTCTCATTCAAATCTATCTCTTGTACCACTGGGGGGAGGGGGAGAACTAAAGAGGAAGTAATGACCAGTTGGGGATGGATTTGGTTTTGTTCTCCAGTTAAGAGTGTGCCTGATAATACCCAAGCATTGCACCACAGCCCTTGTTTGGCCTGCTAATAAGAACAGAAGGGCACAGCGAGGTCAAAAGCACACAGGGAAAGAAATGCAGGTCCCCACCCATTCCTGGGACTCCTGATGGTCAGAGACTGAATGAGGGTGTGGCTCCTCAGAACTCAGTGCTATCCCTCCGAGTAGCGGTAACTGCTGAGCCCAGCACACAGAATTTCAATCTCTCTCTCTCTCTCTCTGCTCTGTTTCCCACAGACTCTTGATAAGGTTACATGGTTTATGCTCTAGAATGAGTTATTTGAAAGGTCCTTCCGTCTGGCCTTTGAAGGACTTCCACTTTACTTTTCCTTTCTGTTTCAATGTACTGCTGAAAGTGGGGATTTCAGTTGCATTCCTGTGTCCTGGAGAATTCCTGAAGAAGTTCACTAAAAGGGATGAGAGATCTGTGCTGTGGTGGCTTCAGTTCCTGGCCATTATTTTCTTTAATTCCCATTTGCATATATAAATTCTCGCTATATAATCAAACAGCAAAGCAAAATTATTGTTATTTTAAAACTCCAGGTAAAATTATTATACACTTCGAAATAATTAAATATGTATTTACGCAGAAGCCTTGAGACATTAGATCTATGAGAACACACTGATACGTAAACAGAACACATGTAATCCTCCCCCTTTAATAAAAGTGCCTGTACATACACATGCATAAATATTGAATTTTCTCTGTACATGTGTAAACATATACATATTTGCATTAAAATATCTGAAGGATGTTTGCCAGGGTACTGACAAGAGTCTCTGTTGAATGGAGGGAGGCAGACCAGGTCGGTTGTCATAAGAAAGCATCATAAATAAGAGAAATTTAATCTTTGCCATTCTGAAGGCTGGATGGTCACAATGAGGGCAGGTTCATTGTGTGCTAAGGGCCCACTGTCTTACAGACCTCTTCCTGTGTCTTCACATGATGGAAGTAATGAGGTGTGGTGATTTTTTATTTGTGCTGAAATGTGGTGATATTTTATTTGTATGTTAATAAGTAAAGTTTGCCTGGAGATCAGAGGACATAGCCAGCCATTTTTAAGTAAACATAGAAGTCAGGCAGTGGTAGCACACGACCTTAATCAGATCACATGGCAAGCAGGGTCTCTGTGTGTTTAAGGCCACACTAGGGAACAGCCAAGTGTGGTGACACACACCTTTAATCCCAGTACCAACCATAGAGACCTGGAGGTCTGTACAGACAGGCAGTAACAAGGAAATGAGGTAGCTGGGCTAAGAGCCAATGAGAGGGCAGAACAGCAAGGCAATAAAAGCCTAAGTAGACAGGAAGTAGCTCTCTTGGGAAGCTACAGCGTGAGTTAAGGCTAGCTGGTGACTCTCACTGTTGCCCTGATCTCTAAGGCTTTCACCCCTATATTTGGCTCTGTGATTCTTATTTAATAAGACAGTTTAGAAATTCGTCTACAATGAAGACCTTCTCTCTGTGTGGGGGTGTGTCCGTCCATGTGCAACCTCAGGTGTGGCTCCTCGGGAGCCATCCGTCTTGTTCTTTGAGACCCATCTCTCTCTCTGGCTTGGGGCTCCCCAAGCAGGCTGGGCTGTCTGGCTGCTCAGCAAAGCTGGGGCTGTTGTTGTAACTGCACGGTTCCCATTCATTAGGGCTCTGCTCTCACAGTCCAGTTACCTCACAAAGGCCTCCTGCCCTGATACTATCTTCTCAAGAGGCAGAGTTGCAACATACAGTTGGAAAACACATACATCCAGTGGAAGTTTTCTTCTCTGTCTGTCTCTTAGTGCGTGTGTGCATGTGTGTGTCTCCTCAACACACATGTCCGTTAATAGTATTTTCTAACTTACCTATATGCTCATATCACACGGCATACTTATTTAATAAACACAAATCAAATGTATCAATACATCACCTAACACACAATAGGTACTTAATAATACACTTTCTTTTATTTCTTTCAAAATATGGTAGTGGGAAGCATTTATTGAGTGCTTAGTGTGTACCGAGTGCTGTAGTAAAGGTCTTATATAGGTGTATTGTCTCATTTAAACCTACAACAAGCATTCTAATATGGATTGTCACCCCCTTTTAAAATTTTGTACATAAAGTTGGAAATACAAGGACGTCTCAAAATCAGTAAATGGCAAAACCAAACCGTAGAATAACCCTTCTTATCCTAGGAAAGAGTAGTTTCAACTATAAAATAAAGATTTTTTTCCCCCAGAGTTGGGCTAATGTCTATTGTATCCAAAACTATTTTCTTTTTAAAATTTATTATTATTTAATTTTATATGTATGTGTGCATGTCTGTGTGCCACATCCATTCTTGGAGCCTGTGGAGGTCAAAAGAAGGCTTGGAAAGAGAGTTACAAATGGTTATGGACTGCCACGTGGTTCCAGGTCCTCTGGAAGAACAGCCAGTCTTCTTAACCTCCGAGCCATCTCTCCAGCCCCTCATAACTATTTTTCTATCTGTTGCTTTTTTTCTTAATATCTTTTTGCCCCCCACTTCTTTTTAGCCTATTCCTCTGAACAATTACTATGACTCTGTTTTTTAGCCTCACCTTATCATACGAACAACATCTTTCTTATTTCTAGAGTTTGTAACAGACAATTAGAACAAGCCCCCTTTCAAATAAATAGTGAAAGAAGCATGAAATGTTCCAGATTCATCCCTACCATCCATTGTTACCTCGTTGCCTTTCCTCTTCCTTATCTATAAGCTATAATCACTAAACCGCGTTGTTGAGTGACTCTGTGGGAGCAGGTAAGAATGAGGGGGGAGAGGGCGGGAAGGTGGCTCAGTGGTGGGTAGAGAGCACTTGCCACACAAACATGAAGACCTGACTGAGTACAAATCCCCAGAGCCCACAGGAGGCCAGGCATGACAGTGTGTGTTTGTAATCCCTGTGCTCTAGCAGCCCAGGAGGAAGAAAAGAAGACGGAAAATCCCAGGAAGTTCCCAGGCCCTGTAGCCTGGATACAGTGCCAGACAACAGGGAAACCCAGTCACAAGCAAGGCAGAAGGCAAGGACCAACACCTGAGGTGGTCCTCTGATTGCCAGAGAGAGAGAGACAGAGACAGAGACAGAGAGACAGAGAGAATGAGGAGGAGGGGGAGAGGAGAGGTGGGGAAAGGGAGGAAGAAATCTTTTAGGGCTGGCAAGATGGCTCCCACTACGCCTGATGAGTTCCATCCCCAGGAATCGCAGGGTGGCTGGAGAGAGCTGACCCCCACAAGCTGTCTTCTGACCTCCACACTCATGCCACAGCACATGCACACATGCGTGCACATAGATACAATAAATACATAAATGTGACAATACTTAAGGAAAACCATTTTCTGTTCATTTCCCCCTTTTCTAACCCCTTGCTTTGTTTGTGTGGGCCCAAGTTTCTGACACGGGTAATTTTCCTCCTTTCTGAAGAATTTCTTTTGACAGTCTCTGCGCTGCGGGTCCTCTGGCAACAAACTCCTTCTATAAAAAGCCTTTCTCCCTGCTTTACTTTGGAAGAATATTGCACTAGGTACCGAGTTTTAGAGAGATGGTTTCCTCCCTTCAAGTTAAATATTTGACCCCATCCTGTTTGCTTTCGTAATTTCCGGAGAGAAGTTCAATTTAATCCCTATCCTTGTTCCTCAGTACGTGAGGTACAGTTTTCTCTGAGTTCTTTCAAGTTTTCCCTTGCCTTTGGTTCTCTAAAGTTTGAGTATGATATGCCTAAGTACAGATGGGGTTTTTGTTGTTGTTGTTGTTGTTGTTGTTGTTTTTCTTTAATTCTACCTAGCATTTCCTGCATCTCCGGAAGCTGTGGTTTGGTGTGGGTCATTCATTTAAGAAGTCCTCAGATACCGTGTGGCCACACGTTTCTTCTGCTCCTTTCTTCCTCTTTCCTTGGCCATTCCCATTGTGCCTACGTCGCACCTTCTGTCATTGTCCCGTAGTCCCTGGCCATGCTGTTTGTCTTTTCCCCTTGAATCGGTGTTGGAAGACTCTACTGACGTCTCTAGAAACTGACTCCATCTGCACCGTCACATCGAACCAGGCGCCCCCTAGAGGCACTCTGCCACTCCTTCGTTTCCCTCCTGCGGGCCCCTTGTTCCTCCACGCTGCCCATCATTCCCACGACAGCTCCCAGAACATCAACGTTTGCTTGTTGTAAATACAGCTGACAGCGTTGTCTTGAACTCCCAGACTGATAACTGCAACATCTCTGCCATGTTTGAAGCTTGCCCTGTCTGGTCTGATGTGCAGATGTAATGGTCTTACTAAATAAGAAACACAGAGCCAAATGCAGAGTTAAAAGCCCAAGAGGTCAAAGCAGTAGCTAAGAGCTGAGACTAAAACCACCTTCTTACCACCCTCTGCTACCATCCTTCCTCTCAGAAAGAGACCTACTTCCTGTGTGTCTGTCTTTTTATTGACTTTCTGTTCTGCCTTCTCATTGGTTGTAAACCCAACCACATGACCTCCTCGTCACCGCCCGTCTATACAGACCTCCAGGTCTCTGTGGTTGGTATTGAGATTAAAGGTGTGTGTCTCCAAGCTGGCTATGTCCTTGAACACACAGACTCTGCCTGCCATGTGATGGGATTAAAGGTGTGCGCCATCACCGCCTGGTTTCTGCTATGGCTTGCTATTAGCTCTGACCCCCAGGCAACTTTGTTTATTAACATACAACTAAAATCACATTTCAGCACAAATAAAATATCACCATACTGATGCTTCCCCCCGTCTCTTGTGTTACCCGTTAGTCCACCCGACCGCGGTTTCTCCTTAGAAGTGGGATGTGATGGATGGAGCAGGGTGGCTTCATTGTGAGGGTCTGTGTGCTTCCTTGTACACCTGGCTAGGGTTACTGCCGTTATCCTGCCCCATTGTTTCCTCTGTCCTGACTACTGCCTTCTGGTTTCCCTACCTGAAGATTTCCTTGAAAATAAGATCTGAGAAGCACGGTTCTTTCGTTGTGTCTCTTTATCTCGTGTGTTGATAGTGAGGGAGGGGAATCCCTCTCGCATCCCACGATTGGGTTTCAGTGTTTTAAAGAGCTGAAGCTCTTGATTGTTGCCTTCAGAATCACATCACAGGTCCCTGCCCATCTTCCCCTTTGGGGAGACAGGAAAGAAACAGGGCTAAAGTTGGTAATTTACCCTTTTCCCAGGGGGCTCAAGCTCCATAAAACTCCACCTGTAAGGCACTGATAAAGTTGTTTCTCTTGGCTTCTCTTTGCAGTAAACAGCAGTGGCTGTCCATAGTGCTCTTAGTGATGAGTGCTCAGCCCTAAGCAAGACATTTATGCTACCTCCCCTAAGACTTGGGAAACCCTGCAGAAGAAGGGGCAGAAAGAATGTAAGAGCCAGAAGAGAGGGAGAGGGCTGCAGAAGCACTGTCTTCTGTACATGACGGAATCACGGGAGCCACGGCTGCCCGCACTGGACCAGCGCAAGACTGAGCCTGCCAACTGTCAGTCATGCAGAACTACAGCTTGCTGGGGAGCTACTGGTTACTGATGGATGCTGGGGTAAGGAGCAGTCATTGTCTTCAGCTGCTGATGAGCCCACCAGGCGCCAATGGAAAGTTCCCCATCCATCATCACGTGCAACGCCCTGGTTAAACTGAGTGGGTCACAAAACAAAACAAAAAGACAGAACTTTAGAAAGGGACTCACAAAGATTGGGGGTTGGGGTTGATGGAGGTGGGAGAGAGAGAAGGTGGAGAGGGAGTGTAATCAGAACTCATTATGCACATTTATGAAAGGATAGATTTATCTAAAAGCAAATTACAAAAGACTAAATTTAACTCAAAATAAAATAAAAAGACATTTAAAAAAGCGTTTCTCAATAGAAGACCATGGTAAATGAAGACCACATGAGAATAGGAAGAAGCAAAGTGCTAGAGAAGCCCACAGAAATCCACAAAGATACCCCCACAACAGACTACTGGCAATGGTCGAGAGACAGCCTGAACTGACCTACTCTGGTGATGGGATGGCCAAACACCCTAATTGTCGTGCTAGAAACCTCATCTAACTACTGAGGGATCTGGATGCAGAGATCCATGGCTAGGCCCTGGGTGGATCTCTGGGAGTCCAATTAGCGAGAATGAGGAGGGTTTATGTGAGCGAGAATTGTTGAGACCAAGGTTGGATAAAGCACAGGGACAAATAGCCAAACGAACGGAAACACATGAACTATGAACCAATGGCTGAGGAGTCACCAACTGGATCAAGCCCTCTGAGTGGGTGAGACAGTTGATTGGCTTGATCTGTTTGGGAGGCATCCAGGCAGTGGGACTGGGTCCTGTGCTCATTGCATGAGTCGGCTGTTTGAAACCTGGGGCCTATGCAGGATCGCTTGGCTCGGCCTGGGAGGAGGGGACTGGACCTACCTGGACTGAGTCTACCAGGTTGATCTCAGTCCGCGGGGAAGGCTTTGCCCTGGAGGAGGTGGGAATGGGGGGCGGGTTAGGGGGAAGGTGAGGGGGGCGGGAGGGGGGAGAACAAGGGAATCATTGGCTGATATGTAGAACTGAATTGTATTGCAAAATAAAAAAAAAAAAAAAAAGCGTTTCTCTTTGTTAGCAATAGAATGTTCTGGCTACTTCAAAATGGTTCCTTTGCTGTCTCCCAACAGAAAGCACAGAGGATTTTTCTCTGATCTTTACCATGAGAGCCTGGTAAGTCTCCTGGAAACGAAGCTCACAAAGCGTGGGGTGTCGGTAAGATGAGACCCCACTGAGGTTCCCTTTCAAGCAACTCACCTGGGTGACAAGGCCGGTTCTCCTAACTCAGCGCTGGCTGCCACACAGGCTCTGCTCAGGACCTCTGCTCCTGTCCACGGTGACTGTATCCACCTACCTTCCTCTCCGGTTCTGGAAGCAGGGTCTCGAGCTGGACCGAAACTCCCACCAGGTCCAAGCAAAGTTTGTACAGCCCTTTTGCTGTCATGTGGATGAGAGTGCAATTCAGTCACCATCGTTACACATCCAATCAGAAGCCAGAACTTGTTGGCTCTTTCCCCGGGACCTGATGGCACACGTATGTGGTCTCGAACACAAGTGGAATCTCAGTGTCTCAGGAGCCCTTCCACAAGTGTGACACAGAAAGAAAAGGCTTGTCAAAGCTGAGATGTGTCACAGTTTGGGCATTTAAATCCCTTATTCTGGTTATAAGTCCACCCGCTTCGTCCTCAAAGTTTGACATACTGCAGTAATAACAGGTGCCGTTGTAATTAATAGCTTAAAAAGCATACAAATCCAAACAGAAATTCAAGCATGATGACTGGGGAGTGCCTTAAGTAGTCTCAAATATTCACGTAAGTACCGAGAAGTGATGGAATACTGTTGTTTCAGGGGACTTGCCTTGGCACTGATATTTTAATAGGGTGCTTGTGATTTTTCTGAGAGTACTTTTCATAAAAATATCAAAAATATTCTACAAATAGTAAGAGTGGATTGAGTGGTATGTCAAAAAAGATAACTCAATAATGCCTTATTAATCCCTGGCACTCATGAATGTCACCTTATTTAGGGAAGGGGTCCTGAGATAAAGAGAATGGGAGGGAGTGCCACCCCCTGACACCTTCACCACACTAGAGAAGGGCCAGCCATGGCCACTACTCTTTTAAGCAACCATGTCTGTGGTCATTTTTAAAACCACCCAAGGACACTCCCCCAGCAATTTAAAAGGGTTTTCCAAACTGTCCATTTTTCTTGTTCTGTATCTCGCTTTCAGAATCCTTCCTTCTGTCATAGCTTCTCACTGGTGGCTCATGCCAAAAAGTTGTTAAATCAAGTTACTCCTTTAAAATTTCTTCAAATCTCAGACACTAACCCAAAACTGAAATAGTTTCTGATCAGAGCAAAAAATAAATAATCCCTCCTAACGAATTATAAACTTTCTGACTTCTGGAATAACCTAGATAATTCTTACGGCCCCAGATCATAGTGTGGCCCACTATAAGCACTTAATGTTTGATTGTTAACTGCCTGAAAAGACAACCCAGCATCCTGGATCTGGTACATCTTCTGATTAGCTAATGAGGAATTGGCGAGAAGGATCATCTAAAGTTAATTGAAAGTGGATGACTGTTGATTACTAGAAATGAATTGAACTAATGTAATTAATCTCCTAATGAATCTCAGGTGTCATCGCCTGCTTGTACCAAACAAGAGCATTAGAAATGAAAGACATAAGGGTCCATATTGCCACTAACATGGAAATATCCTTTCAGAGCCCAGAATAATTGTTCTAATACTTAAGGATTAGGATAAATGCTGACTTAATCAGTAAATAAATGATGCTATATGATAGATACGCCATTTTCATAAGCAGTCATATTTCAGGGACGGAGTTAATTGATATCTGAGTGCTTCCAATTTGACCTCTCAGAATTAAACTTTCAGCAGAATTGAAATTTGGAGGTACACAGACAGCTATAATCCCAGAATTTGGGAGGCTGCGACAAAAGGTTATCAAGTTCAAAGCCATCCTGGGACGCACAGGAAGTTCAAGGCCGGCCTCATTTACAGAATGAGTTCCTTTCTCTGTAAACCAAAAAAGTGTGTGCCAGTCACTGGGTCCTGTCCCTAGCACTAAAAAGCAACATTGAAAGAAAGATGTTCCACTTTCTAAGAATATTTCCAAGTTAAAACAGAAAGTGTGCGCTTTGCTTTCTGTTACAGTTTTTCCTGTTAAGTGCCCCTTTCATAATCAGCAATGCTTGGGGAAGTCAGTTCTCTGCTTTGACCATGTGGGTGGCACTGTCTATTCATGAAGGAGCCCTTCACACTACCTGGTAAAATGCTCCTTAGAATTTGGTTGAGGGGGGGGGGGCGGGGTTTATATGTTCAGCATTTTGTTCAGGGGCATCCACATGTATTCTTATCCAATTTTCTAATTCATACCTAGGAACTGACTCATGGTCATTCTTAAAACTGTCATGGGTGGTGGGGGATGCTGGAGAGATGGCTCAGCAGTTAAGAGTGTTGCTGCCCTTCCAGAGGACCCGAGTTCAGTCCCCAGTGCCCACATCCGGTGGCTCACAACTGCCTGTAACTCCAGCTCCAAAAGATCTGATGCTATCTTCTGGCATGTGGGCATCCCCACAGGCATAGCTTTCACTCACATAGACACACAAATAAATAAAATAAAATAAAAACAGCCATGGTCTGTCTGGCTGTGACTCAGTGGGGGGAAATGCTTGTGGAACATCTAAGTTCTGTCCCTGGAACCCATGGTGGAAGAAGAGAACCAGTCTCTGAAAATTTGTCTTCTGACCAACACATAGGCACCTCGGCACCTCAAATCACACACAGACGTGCAAACTAATAAACACATTATTTTAGAAACTGGCATGGCATCAGTCAACACCTCCGGACACACCAAGCATTTGTCTAAACATGATAATCTTTCTAGCAGCTACAGACACAGATGAGGGAAATAAGGTACATGGAGAGGACCTTCCCATGACCACACAACTAACACGGCAAGAACTGGACTTTAGTTCAAGTCATGTGACTCTGGAATTTGAATTCTCAGCCATGGTTAACACTGGAATGAGCTGAAAAGTCTTTACAAGACCCGGATACCAGGTGAGGGGGTCAGATTCAGCATCTCTCCCATCAACAAAACTTCTTATCTCTGGAATGTTCTATGCTAGCCCCCGGACAACACCTGAGCTTATTGATGGGGACTTGTGTTGTTATTTTGGTGTATGTAGGAGAAGCCTATTCAACAAGAAAGACTTGAACCTCTCATCTGCTTCTGGCTTCTACAGTTCCATTATGCAATTATTTGACTACAGGCCCAACACTTCTGACAATGGATACATTTTAAAAAACATTGTTGTTTTTACCTGGAGGCATTCTACACCATGAGTCACTCTCATCAAACAGAAACAAACCTCATCTTCTTTAAGATCCTTTCCCAGCTCTTCTTTCTGTGGGCCGGACATGCTTTCCCACAAAACATTTGATGACAGAGAGCTTCCCCGACTTGTAAAACTGGAAATGGAGCAGGAGCTATGGAGCTGTAGGAGATGTGAAAGACAGAGAGTCAAATGTCTGAAAGCCCAGTCTTTAGAATTTCTCTTTCAGGGGCTTAGTGGGAACATTACAGAGAATAGAGTTATTGATTGCTCTTCTCAATGGGGGCCCCAAGGCCTTTGTGTCTTTAATGACTCATGCCTGTGGGTGTCCTTTGAGTCACCCATCATTTCCAGGTGGCATCCTGTAGGCAAGGTAGCATCTGGATGCTTCCTTCATTCACTTCATTTATTCTTCAGACACAGAGACACATATATGGATGTTGTGGGATACGTGCACGCTGTGTGAAGATATATTGCTGTGATTCGTTTAATAAAGAGCTGAATGGCCAATAGCTAGGCAGGAGGTATAGGTGGGACTTCCAGGCAAAGAGAAAGGAAGTGGAGATGAATTTAGGCATGCAAGAGAGGACAGGAGACACGGAAGAAACAGGATGGCCTGTACATGACAGAATATAAATTAATGGAAATGGGTTAATTTAAGTTATAAGAGCTACTTAAAAGCAAGCCTAACCTAAGGCCAAGCTTTCATAATTAATAATGAGTCTCCATGATATTATTTTGGAGCTGGCTGGCAGGACAGAGAAAGACTTGTTAAATATGAAACATGTAAGTGTGGGTATGCATGGGTGTGTTGTATATCCATTTGCATGCAAGTGCCCATGTAGATTGGAGTGTATGTGTGAAAGAGCAAGTCTGTGAGTCCATGGAGGCCAGAGGTCAACCTGAGATACTGTTCCTCAGAAGCTATCCGCCTTGCTTTTTATCTTTACTTTATCTAATTACTTGTCTGTCTGTCTGTCTGTTTGTGGTGCAGACACATGTGAGGAGTTCAAAGAACAACTTGGGGAAGTCAGCTCTCTGCTTTGACCATGTGGGTGGCAGGGTCATGAGGCTCAGCAGCGAGCACTTTTGTGTGACAAGCCATCTTGATGGTCTTGCTTTACTTTTTGAAATAAGGTCTCTCACTGGGACCTAGGACATGCCAATTAGGCTACAGTGGCTGCCAGGAAGCCCCAGGGATCTGCCTGTCTCTGTCTCCCCAGTGCTGAGAGTACAATGACATGCCACCACGTGACACTTTTTATGTGTGTTCTGGGAACTGAACCCAAATCCTCACGATGCAGAGCAAGCACTTTACCAATGAATTTCCTCCCCAGCCACAGATGCAGATGTTAGGGTGTTAAGGGGCTGTGGGACCCCAGTCCCTTCCTTCTTCCTCTTTTAATTTTTATAAACGAGACAAGTCGATTTGCTCGGCCATGTGCTCCCACCTCAGTCAGCTGTTACCAAGGCTTGAAAGCAATGAAGCCCGATGAGCAAAGCTCTAAACCTTCAAAATCATGAAATCACGGCTGAGCATCCACCTGGTATCCCACCCTCAGCACCACAAAGTCCTTCTTGAAGGAGAAAAGGACATGGATTCCCTAACGTAAGACTAACAGTCATAACAATTGCAACCAGTGTTCATCAAGAGCAGAAGCAGACTCTTAGACATTCTTCCTGCATGACATCCTTAAGTCCTTATGTGAACCTGTAAGGAATTCCACGATAGACAACCTTGGAGCAGTGTGAACTTGTTTTTGCAAAGATTTCATGGACACAAAAATCAACTATGGTTGAAATGTATTTGCTTTTGCATGCATGTTATTATGAAATGTTATAAATTAGATGATAAAACACTAAACAATTGGAGAACACCCCCCCACTTGAAGAGTGATAGTATCTCAAAACTAATGTATTTCAAAATATTTAAATTCTATAAAATTCCACAAGAAATATTATCAAACCCAGAAGCCTTCTTTAACAGTAAGCAAATTATTAAACCTTGATCTTAAAAACAAGATGTATGGGTATTTTACAAGAAATTAAATTATAAAGAATCCTCACTTGGAACTAATTACTAATTTTTATGATTTCCTGTTTAGCTATTGATCTGGATAACTTTACCAATTGGTTTTATAATCATTGTTAATAGATATGTGAAGTATACAGGCTTAAATTCTGTTTATTTAAGTAGAGGAATTTATTTTTTAAACTTTAATTTCACAAAGCCATTAGAGTTGGCTCCAGTATTCATGAGTTCTATATCCATTGGTTCAACCAACCCCAAATAGACTATTCTGGAGGAATGCGTGTGTGTTGAACATGGGCAGACATTTTGCTCTGCCATTACCTCCTGAACAACACAGTATAACAAGCACCTATATGTTACTGCTCTAGGTGGAGGCATGAACCTGGGAGAGGGGAGCCTAAAAATGAGGTGGACTCAAGTATTATGCAATAACCAGCTTTATTCATGACCCTGAGAGGGCCATGCAAATGCCATGACAGATAATAGCCCAGTTAAAAACCAGGCCTCAGTTCCAGCTTCCTGAAACTAGACAAGCCATTTCTGAGGAAGCCACGAACAAAGGACAATCGATCAACAATGTCCCTGACAGCAGGGAGACTGTGCGTACTAAGCCTGAGCTTTATATTCTGGGGGTAAAGCAAGGTCACATGAGTTTAGGCTGTGTACAGTTGAGAGGACAACTGGTGCTTGGAAACATCTTCCAATAGCAAAAGTAAGATGACGGGTATGCTAGGATCCTGGCGTCGTCCCACAAAAGACCACCATCCATGTCTTCAATCAGCAGGGCATTTATTATCTTGAGAGTAAAGGTTCCAGCATGCTGGGGCCGCACATCCAACACAAAGGCAAGATGATGACCCAGAGAGAAGCTCTCAGGTTCCTTTTATATACAGCTAAAGGAATTCTAGAAACAGTTAGCTCATCCTATCTATGATTGACTAAGCAAGCGGAGGTTACCTTAGTATATCTCTGATTGGCTAGGGCTAGCAGGGGCAGGCTAGGACTGCAACTCTTCCATCTTTGGACATGTTTGGACAAGTCCCAGGATCTGTCCCTGTTTGGTCATTGCCTTGAGATAGTGCAGGAGGCTGACTCAGGCTTAGTATGCACAATCTCCCTGCTGTCAGGGGCATTGTTGATTGATGGTCCTTTGTTCATGGCTTCCGTAGAAATAACTTGTCTAGTTTCAGGAAGCTGAAACTGAGGCCTAGTTTCTAACTGGGTTATTACCTGTCATGACATTTGTATGGCCCTCTCAGGGTAATCTGAAGTGAACCCACTCCTATTCACTATGCCTGGGAGGGGCACGAGAGCGCATTCCAAGAACAACCCATGTTATGGAAGAACAGAGGTTACAAGACTCTTGTGCTCAGTTGGCATTTTCTCACAAGGTCTCAGAAATCTCCTCACACGGCTTCCTTCATGGACCATGTTCTGTCACCTATATGGCACTTGCCTGTATTCAGGGTCACAAATAATCTAGAAATGACTGAACATTCACAGCAGACTGTGTGAGGGATACGCAAACACTGTGATGTCTTACACCAGATTTGGGTATCTAAGAGGGTCCTGGAGCTAATCACCCACGGCTAATGAGGGACAAGTGTATTTGTGACAGCTGAGAAATAGGAGAGAAGCCTTATCTATCCCCTTTCTGTAAGGCCCCACCAAACCTCTCCTAAGATCTACCCCTGCATCATTCGGTCATATGAAGCAAGAAGTCCCCCTATCCTTTCTTCAAAAATGAGCTACTTTGGTTCACCTGTTCAGTCATGTGCTACCGAAAGAGTCTCCTTACAAAGCAGCAGGGTCACCTTGC